GAGCAATCCAAATTCTTTATAACAAATATAAAGGAATAATCCTTTTCTAATACAAAAAGATTTGCAAAAAAGTAATAGAAAACTAAGATCTTCTAAGAAAGTTACTATATGAACTAGATAGAATAGACTATAATATGTAAACTGAAATACTTTCAGTATATTCAAATGAGAAAAAAACATATTGAGCAGTCTATTTCAACTTTCTAACTGATATATTAGAAAAAATATCATTCACAGATAACAAAATCTAGTTTATTTCATATTAATTATTATGTGATTCTACTAAAAACCATATCTTACTTCAATCAGATATATTATTTCAAGCCTTAGAAATAGTCCTATTATAAATTTGTCTTCTTCTACAACTAAATAAATATGAAAATCTGAAAAAAAGAAAACAAGTCTTCTTGTCAATTAATTCTATAAACTGGTAAACAACTACAAGACAATAGATGTTAATCTCATTTATTTTTAAATCTGTAGAAGTAAAAATTCAGGTAAAATAATAAAAAATTATATTAATAAAACAAGATATCCAATCAGAAAAATATATAGATGAACTCATAAATATACTGAAACATAATAAAATAAGTATAATAACCAGTTTACTTTTTATACAGATAGCTTTTATAAAAATAAATATAAGATAATGAACTTAAATGAGTTTTGCTTGGGTGTTATTTAATAAAGAATAACAAAGTTAAAAAACAATTTTCAGTAGAAGTATTGATATGATTATTAGCAATTAAGACAGAAATATTGATATTCTTATTGCATTATATACAACTTCTTGAAATATAATAGTTTTAATTTTTATTGATTATAATATTACAGTCAAGATATGAAAGTTTATCTATTTATAAATAGAGATATCAACAAGAAGATGGATAAAAACCATCAACTGATCAATATAGAGTAAGATTAAAGACTTAGTAAAAAAAAAGATTTTATCTTGAAAATTATAAAGGTTAAGGTTTAAATACTAATAGATTTAACAATTAGATATATCTACTTACTAAATAAGTTAAATATAAAAATTTGATAATTTGGTATCAATTATTAGAGTTAGAGAAAGTTTTTATAATAGTTATATGGTGTAAATACACAATAGAGATTAGCATTAGAGAATTTATCAAAATATTTAATAAGAAAAAGATTGAAAAAAATTGGATAGTATAGAAAAAAATTCAAGAGCTATATATCCAAAATGATAAAATTATAAATTGGTTAGCCTTCTGGAATCAGTTTAATTTATCCAATACTATCGATAGTTCCTTTAAAGCTAACAAAGACAAAAGCTTTCTAATCAACCTAATCCACAATAAACTTCTAGTATTACAGATACTCAAGAAAAAAAATTGAATATTTATATTATAATAACTTGACAAATATGTAAACTTTAAAAAAAAACATTAGAATATCTTTTCAAATATCCAGTTATTAAAAAAGTTAGAGAAGATATATAGCAAAAAGCAAAAGAAAAGATAAATTATTACAGCAGTAAAAAAATAAAGAATAAAAAAAAAGCTTACTCTGCAACTGATAATTGAATAAGTAGATAGTTAAATAAAATTTAACATCAGACAGAAATCTTTTCAATACTATTTGAGAATATATAAAAGAAAATAAAACCATCTTCTTGAAGAATTATCTCAAAGCAAAATATAAAATTTTTTCAATATAATATAAAGCATAATCAATAAACTTTGTTACAAGATGAGAAAAAACTTTAAAGAAGATATTGTAATAGCTATTGTATTAAAGTAAATAAGTGAAAAAGGATATGGAATATTATTAAAGAGGATAAAACATCTAAAAGATTTGAATATAGATTCAATGCATAAATTATACAAAAGTAGAAAGAACATTTGACATTCTTAAAAAACCTGTAACAAGAAGCTATTAAAAGAAATAAGAGAAAGAAATATATAGAAATTATTAAGGATTGAGTTTATTATAGAGTTAAATAATTCAATTTTTAATTATAAATAGAATTTAAAATGATCTACAATAATGATCTGTAAATAATAACTTTATTAATTAGAGGATTCATTCAAGTCAATAAAAAAATAAAATATTATTTATAAAGTTATATTTAGAGAATAGTTTTTTTAATAACAGATAAGTCAGTATATGAAAGATTAAATATTTTGTAAATATTTTTATACAATATATACAATATAATAAATATATGCCATATTAATCTAACTATGAATTAAAAAAAAAAAGATTATAGTTAATTTATGTTATAAAGATTATTATATCTATAAATTAAATTTAATAGTAAAGATTTATATTTAATATTTATTTGTAATATTAAAATAATAATAATAATAATTTCAATTGATTTATATTAATTATTATTAATTTAAAGATTTAAAATGAATTTTTTATAAAATTAAAAATAAATTTATTTTTTAAATTGATAAGATATTATTTTAAAAAAAAAACAAATTAATAAAAGGATATTTAAAATAAATAATTTGATAAATAAATTTAAATAAGATAATGCAAAGAATTATTTGATTGATTATTTTTTAAAAAAAATCTAAGACATATATAGAAATGTTTGTTTTTTCAATTTATTATCTTGGAATAATTAAAACTTTAATTTACAAAAAATAAATTAATTTTAAAACAAAGGCGCATATGTAAACAAACGTGGTGATCTATTATTATCACGTGCACAAACTCGAATGCAACACCGCTTCAGCTTTAGTCACGTGATACAGCGCGTTGATGTTGAGATTGAGGATCGTCTATTATAGTAGGGTCGCAATCATTTATTTTATACTTATGTATGGCGTACAGGTGGAAGAGAGGGAGGATTTGTAAATGTTTAAACATTGACACTTCTGCCACTACTACTACTACTGTTTTAACTTCCCAGTGATTCTTACAGGAGCTGGCTCAGAGCTGATTTAATTCACGTATTTATGAAGTTAAGTCAAAAAATCTTCAGACACTCCTGCCACAACACTAACCCATAAGCAGCCGAGTGCATTTTGGAGAGCAATAATAATAAAGTCAAGCAATTCGGTCATGGGATGTTGACGTACGTGCGCATATTTGGGAAGCGCTGCGCCACAGTGTATTAAGGGCAAGGCAAATCGGTTACACGGCACTCGTGAAAATGAAAGCAGAACGTGCATGTCATCATCTTGAGCGCGTTTTTCATGCAAAATTTCCCACAAAGAATTTTGACAAATTTCGATAAAAATATTCAACCACATTTACCTGTAATTTACCACCGGTTTTCAGCCACTTTCCAGTATTTCTGCATCTATCGGTTTCATTATCAAAAAAAGCACCCTGTGCCCTAAATTTATTAGACAAAGAACGCCTACAAAAAGGCTTTACAAAAAAACGGGTCAACTAAAAAAATGTCGGCTCGAGATGCTCAATATACATATTCATATGCCGCACCAAAGAGTCATCAACTTCACCACCAGGCAGCCCAGACGTCTTTCCACCACCAGTATACTCAACAGCAAAATCAGTTCACGACCGCTCAGGATAGTTTACTAGCTCAGACCGCCTCAGGAACTCCGAATCCTCAGTACACGCCTCCGCACAACCCCTCGATTACACCCGTCACATCTGGAACACAAACTCGTCGTTTCAAGACAACCCAACATACTTCAATCGCACCACGAACACCGGGTGCAACGAACAGACCATACACGACATCTCAACACCCGTCGATCGCTCCGCCAACTTTGGACCACCCGACCTCACCTTTAAATTCGACACATTGTATATCTGCGTCAAATGGAGTGACACCCATGGCTTCCGTACCCACGCCCCCATCGATCCCCACAGGTCTATCCAGTCCTGGTGCGGGGACTGCAACGGTTACGAATTTCGAATTGCAAGATGTTATCGCGCAATTTCAGTCACAGCCCGAACTCCTCAAGCTTATCCTTACTTCGAAAGTCGAGGAGGACAAGAGGAGAGCCGAAGAGGCAAAGCTGCGCGTTAGAGAGCTAGATTTAATGCTCTCAGAGCGCAGCCGAAAACATGCGGAAGAGGTGGGGAGTTCAAAGCATCATAAGGGGAATGATCAAGCCAACAACGACATGGACTATGAGAATGGTTGGATCTTTTTCTTTTCTTTTTCTTTTCTTTCTTTCTTTCTTTTTTTACAATTGAGATTCTTTTCTACGGGTCATGCATATAAGACCAAGATCGATATACTATGTAATGACATTAACAAATATTATTCACCATTTGTATTTTTACCACAGATCACTCTATGGGGACGTAAGTTATCCCATTTTACCATTTTAGCACTTTAATAATGCCGATCATAACTTTTTATATTTTCATTTCTAAATCTAGTTAGTAATTTTTTCGCATAAATTTAGTTTTTCTGTGTCAGATGGCTCGCTGAATTACGCGTCGTTTAATAATAGTTTGACATCAACTGTTCAAAATCTCACACTTGACTCTCCAACTAACACGCCTCGACCGAAATCCATATCCAAAGGTAGTCCAACAACATCACAACTTCATTTAAACTCGCAGGATTTGCTAACGACTCAACAAAGTCAGTTAATCACACAGAGTCGAATGACATCATACGATCAGGGAGTCGGCTTGAACGAAAGTGAAGAGGTGGACAGTGCACCGAACAAGCGTAAACGTAAACGCCGGGAAATGCTTCCCGTGACAATGATCATTGAAACTAAAGAATACCCTTACGTAGACGATTATCTATGGAAAAATAATGGCAACACCACGCAAAGAAAGACAGGAAATAAGAGCGTCTATTTCAAGTGCTCCAACAGTAACAAGGGATGTCCCGTTAACAAAACTGTGACGGAGAAGGACGGCGGTTGGACCATTAAATATCGAGGTCACCATTTGGAAGAATGCGGTAAGATCAAGCGGATTGTCCAGAATTAGCGACGAATTCTACGAAGGCTCGTTGGATCATCGATCGGATATACAGTATTATATGCGGTCCGCCTTTGTTCTCGTGACCATCGAAATGATTCTTTTGTTTCACATCCCTTTGTACATTTTAGCTTTTCTCCTCCTTCAATGGTTTCTTTTGTAAAAAAAAATTATTATTATTTTTTTTTTTTAACAAACATTCTTTTCATTTCGGTTTAACATTTTTTTTTTTTTTTGGACTTATTGTTTACCATCCAAAAACTGGGGTGTGAAAAGCATTCAAAGAATGGCACCACATGACATGTGGATGTAAAGACTACGATCACAAAGTAAGTGCGATATAACGATCTCTGTTTGATAGTCAAGTCATGGAAAGATCAGAATTTATGTACTCTGTTCCCATCCCTTCCATTCTTTTTGGCCTAAGAACGTTGGCTCAATGAATTTGTTGAGCTATTTCCTTGATGTAAATTAGATCTGCAATTTTCGGTATAATTTGATCTACACATTTATTTTTTAATAATATAAAGATGGGATACCTGTTTCTTGTCGGTTAAGCTTGCATTAGGGATTTGGCGGTTGAATGTTATGAGGGTACAAATTGCAGAAAAAAAAATGTCATTGTAAAAAGGAGAATTAAAGTTTAATTTGTGCGTCCCTCGTGCTGCATTATGTAAAAAAAAAAACTTAATCAGTGTTTATGACACCATTGCTTTTTTTGATTCGAATCGATTGTACCATAAACTTGGTTCAGAAAAATTCTAGAAACAATATGGGTAAAAATGTCAACCATTGTTTAATGTTTTAAGAAAATTACTGCTATATTAAGTACCACCAAGAGATAAACCGATCCTGATTTGAATTAGGTTTCAATAAAAAAGTTGGATCTACATGCAACATTGATGGACAAACCCAAACTTTATTTTGTCTTGATTTTCCACAACCAAATTTGAGATCACGTTCGTCGCATAGTGAGGTGAGGTTCATGCACTTCACTTTCTACTTTATTATCATTTCTTAAATATAAGAAGATACATTAGATATTCAATCACGTCTAATCATTCGGCTAGAGCTGGGATCAGGGTAAATTAAAAAATATACTGCATATACAATATCTAAGAATCAATTAATGAAGCTTTTTCTCTAAATAATTTTTCGGCGTCAACCCACACTCTTGCGGTATCGCGCTCGGACAATTGAATTAAGCTAGGCAGTAAATCTCGAGAAAATTGTTCACTGCTTTCCCTTGGTAACAATGTTGGTAGATGATCGATGGAAATGACTTCGAGAGGATGAGGATTTCTGAAATCAAGTGAAACGTTCGGTAAACCATCTACCCATCATGTTCTAATATGAAAAGAGTCAAAAAAAAAAATGCTCACTTTGTTTCCACATAAATAGTAGGGTCATCGAAGGTAGTATTAACGGTATAAATGGGAAGAGGATTATTGGGATTGGTGGTATCGCAACTCACATCCACAATAACCGAAAGTTGCCGTTGATTATCCAACAATTCTTTTGTGATAAACGGCGGTATTTTCTGGCTGAGATAAATGCAGTTTACAAAGACATCGGATTCTAGGATTTTAAGAAATGGTCCGCCTTGCTTTGTCTCTTCCATATCCCATTTGACGATGTTCTCTCTAAGTTATTAATAAACGAAAGATGAATACTTGATCATAGAAATTTTCATTTTTATTTTTATTGTCGCTTACTCGGAGATTCCGGCTTTACGCGCAAAATCAACTGCACCTTTACCACATCTACCCAAAGCACCCATGACCATGACGCGCGGAGGCCTTCCTTTTAGTTTAGCTGATTTTTCGATAAAGAAAAAAAACCAATTATATTTAGTAATGTGACTGATCAAAGAGTCTGATCCAACATAAAACATGCTTACTTGCATTCTCCAACCTCTCCTTTATATGATTGACCAGTTTACTTTCATCCGGATATGGCGAAACCGATGGGTATTTTTCCTCCGGGAGGAGTTGTTGTTGGGCCCATACATCGAGTCCCAAAGCCGTACCCGAGAAACCAGCATGATAACCAAATGCAGCCACTCGACGATCTGAACGCGCATTAAAATATTAACTTTATTCACAGAAATGAAAATGATTAAGCATATAAATAAAATTTTTTACTTTTGTCATCGGTCAAAAATTCCATGTCAAGGATCAATCCATTGCCTTTGATGAATCTCCTAATTACTTCCTTCCAACCCTCTTGATTTTTATAACAGTGCGCAAAGAAGATGTGCGAATGTGACAAAGGAGAATCATCGTTCTCTGGAAGTTCCTTGAGACCGATAATATATGCATCAAGTGGTGCCGTTCTCCAAGTTCCCATCGGAACTAGAGCACACTCGACTCTTTTTTACAGAAAAGTGGATTTATGAAAATGCAAATTCTTCTAAAAATATGTGTAAACTTTGAGATAATTACTTTTCGTATTCGTCATCACTAAATATTCGTTCCGTAGATCTTTCAACAGTGATTTGGAAACCTTCGTTTGAAATATAGTCAATTGATCGAGCATATTTAGTATTCGAACACCCAAATCACAAGTTTGAACGAGCAAGCTCACCATGCTGAAGCAAAGTTTGACACGTGGAAGGTGTCAGGGCTGCACGATGCTCATTTGGCTTAGTTTCAGCTCGAAGCCATAAATGTACCATTTCGTTCTCAGGCGATGATGAACCATGTTAGATTATCGGCTTACAAAGTAAATTTCTCCGTGTAACGCGAGATAATCAATCACGCGTATTTTCTATCAGGTTTATTATTACCCATAGTCGGGTCAAAATAGTATACTAAATATAGTAATTCTCTTTTTTAATATCCGCAGCCAGGCTAGATTATAGTTTATTTTATTAATCAATTGAAAATATAAGTATATTTTTACTCAAGCAGTATGATATATACTACAACCAAATATTTCTATCAAATCTAATAAATTCATCATAGGCAATAATAGTCTTTAACACTAGTTTATTATTATTATTTTTTTTTTTTTTAAACGCTGGTTGAGTCAAAACTTTATTAAGGAATCCTTATATAAGATGGAGAAAACAGAGTTTCTTTAAGACTATATATAAGAAATATTAAGACAAATAAAGTGTTACAATAGAAAAGCTCCTTTATGAAGATTTCACCTTGTGGCCTGGCCACCTCTTAAAGAAAAAAAAGGACTAGTCTAAGGTCTAACTAGTGCTGAAAAAAAATTTCTTGGAACTATGCAGAATACTGGATAATCGACTTAAATTTTTTACCCCTACCAACTATTTATTAAAGATTACCATCAATCGATCTGACGCCTTGCGAATTATTCACCGAAGTACTTTGTCTCTTCATCTTTGAAAAGGAGAAAAGTGAAAAAAGGGAGGAAATTACTCATCCAAAGATCTGACGAGTTCTATGGCCAAGAAGATACCTTAAAACCTTTGGTGGGGTTGATGAATCCAGTTCTATAAGTAATATCATCTTCA